AAAGTCTATCAAAATTTCGGGTAACTGAGAGTTATTCCCAAAATTATCAGCCTATAGTTTGCCTGATCTCCTAAAATCCCAAGGAATCAACATTTCACTGCCACTCTTTTCCTTGGTGCTCGTCCATTCTACTTGTACATTCTGGAATTGACGGAAATCTACACCCAATACGCACTCATTCTACAGCAATTTGACCGTTATTTTACCTCGATCGTGCATTTTAAGAGGTTCTAAACCCATAACGGGTATATCAGCGTTATTCCGTATCTTACCTCAGGGCTAGGGGTCGATTTACGCGAATATGTTTTAACTTTCGTGCACAGCGACTACACATGACCAGTGAGGCCGCCATCTTGTGAATTATTATTTTCGACACCAGTCCTCCACAGATGAAAGTAAAGGTTTCTCTCGTGGGAGGTTACATGTTAATTTTATCATCCTTACGTATTTCCTTGCCGTCATCGGCTAATTCCCAAGTATCTAGATGGAAGTTTGTATAGACTCAGTACAGTCTGCGTTAAATGCCGAAAAAGGAGGTAAGAAATATTCCGGGCTTTATATTAGTGTTTTTTTCTTTTTTTTTTTTTAATTGAAATAACGCGATACAATCCACAACTTTAGTTTCCAAATAGCATGGATCCAGTTGTGTCTGGACAAGTTATTAAAGTAAATTAGTCTCCTTTTTGATGCACATTGTTTCCACCATAAATTATCTCGCGAGAAGTAAGAGGTTATTATTTTCAAGGGTTAGTCTGGTTTAATTCACAAACCTGTTAAAGTAGAACACCGCGTTTTGGCGGCAACATATGGTCTGTTGCCGCCAGAGCGCATCACACCAGGAAGTAACGATGTTCAACTGGCCTGCTGCGTTACTGTATGGCAGGGGGTTAAATTTGCCTGTGTCAAACTTACGCACATATTTAGAAAACCATGCATGTGTTAACTATATATGCATGCATGCATGTGTTAACTATGCATGCATGCATATGTTGACCAACAAAAGGGAAATATTGGTTACTTCAGGAATAGTATCATACGAGTCGCCACCCTGTGATTGCCCTTCTGGTAACTTCCCTCCCCCATCTCCCTTTCTGTTAATAAACTCACCAAATACCTCTTGGAAATTGTAATTAAGCAAAGGGAAATTAAATTTAACCAAATGGAGGTCTGCTTTCGGGCTTAGCAAAATCTGTGACATTTTATTCATTCATCCAAGCATATTGACATTTGTGACAGAAGGGTATTTGGATTGTGTGTACAGTAGGTAGTCTAGGGTTGATAGATTGGTCAATCTCTGGATTTATGGTTGACATGTAAATAGAACGTTGGTAGATTTATAGTGACAATTGGACTGAGTGGAGTCCAATTGGGTCTATAATCATGCAGAGGGATTAACAAAATTGGACGACCGGGAAGCAGGAGTCCAATTTGTTTGAGTATGATTACAGAAAGAATTGGACAACCCAAAATTCCTGTTACTAATTTGTCAAAACTATGACAAAGTTTGAGAAAGAACGCAGACAGTGGTCATACATTTTCATGAATAAAAACATCATAAACATTTCATGAATAAAAACATCATAACCACCCTCTGAAGATATGCTCACTGCAAGTAAAGAACAATTTAACTGCTACCAAAGGCTAAAGTAACACCAAACGTTATAAGAACACATTTGCAAATAGATAAACTTTTAAATACAACATTTAATGATATTTTATGTCAGATATATGTGACTAGACAGATAGATGTTTATTTGCTAAAAGAGTTGCAGTCAAAAACTGAAATACAATATAGCTTACAATTAAAATTTCTCAGAAAAATATATGAATTTGTAAAATATGAATATCGATGATCCTAGACAATCAGCGTATGTCTGCCTTTTAAGAATTATAAAAAACTTGAATTAAAATTAATAAAAGTGGATTGACAATGCTTCATTTTACATTTAAGTAGTACAAACTTTGAACTTCTCCTAAGATTATAGTTGAAGGCTTTCACTTCTGAGAGAAGAGGGTGGAGTCTATGATTCTTATCGGTGGTGATCTGTTCGAAGAACTTTGACGTAATGACCTGATGCCTTTCAGAGGGTGGTTGGAGGCCAGCTTCATTAAGTGCTCCTGCATAACTGCGCTCTGGATAGATAATGTGCATTGCACATTTCTGGAGACATTCAAGGTCATTGCTAAGATAATTAGGCAGGCTTTGTGATAGACTTGATAGGCGTACTCGGTTATAGGTCTTATACATGTTGTATAAGATTGGGTCAGCTCTTTACCTGCTACTTTGGATCGTTTGAGTTGTCTCAGAAAATAGAGCTTGGATGCTGTTTTCTTTACAATTTCGGAGATATGGATGTTCCATTTGAGATCACTACTTAGGTTAAGTCCTAAGAGTTTGCCATGGTTGACTATCTCAAGTTGCATGTTATTTACATTGATTGGATTCCTTGTCTGATTTAGAAAAGTCTATCCTGAGTTCTTTACATTTGGTTTCATTTAGTTGGAAGTTACGGTATCTGCCTTGGTTTTATTGCAAAGTTCATTGATAGCTACTTGGATCATACTTGGTTGGTTCTTTGCCACAATCTCCAAGATTGCAATATTGTCTATCTACTTCCAGAGTTGCATGCTGGGAACGCTGATATTACCTATCATTATCAGGGAGAACCAACGGCCTACAACAACAACAACAACAACAACAAACCTTTATTTCATCTTGAATTTAAAATAGCAAGCCTAGTTTGGTCCCTTGTGGGACCCCGGCAGGGATAGATCGCCATTCAGAATAGCAGTCTTGTCCTAGCTTGAGTCTCAGTCTGTTTCCAATCTTGAAGGAAGTCAGTTATCCAACATATGATCGATTCTGGCAAATCAAGCATACGCAGCTTACTCACCAGAATTGAATGATCGATTAGATCAAATGCTTTTCTAGAATTGAAAAAAAAAAAAACAATTCTAGTTGCTGCGCCGTTGTGGTCAGTATCATTGGCCCAATGATGGATAATGTCAATGAGGGCGTCTACAGTTGACGAATTCAGAATGGTGCTGAACTGTTGGTTGTCGATTTTTACTAAAACCACTGGTTTTACAAACCTCTCCACTACGAAATCTTCTGCCAGCTTAGACAGGAGTGGGGTCACTGGGATGGGTCGCAGATGCTTGTTTATATCAAAATTGACTTTTGCTTTGGAACAGGAATGACATCAGCCTCCTTCCACGCCTGGGGGAGACGGCAATCACGATAGGAAGTGTTCAGAATATCACAAATCAGGTCAGCAAGCAAATCTGCATTTTCCCTTAGTAACCATCCAGGCATCCCATCAGTCCCTTGGGCCTTAGTGAGGTTGATTGCAGAAGAGAGCTTTAAAAACCTCCACTGAGGTAACAAATAGACTTAACTCAAAGTGCAGGACCAGTGAGGCTGGTTGTTTGGCTAAGGGTTGAAAGTCCTTCGTTGGTGTTAAAAAGCCATCATTGATGCGGTTGGCTAGTGAGATGTCAATTGATTCACCTGTGTTGCCAGAGTTTAGGTGCTTAAGAGATTTAATGATACTATCCTTGGTGCCAGATGCTTTTGACTTGCTGCTAAGTTTCTTTACTTTGGTCCACTTACTGAGCTAGTGAACTCTCTTTCAAGTGTTCAACCTTGCTGTTATAGTATTTTGATCGGCATGTCTTACGCTCATGGTTTGCAAGGTTCCTTAATCAGCAAAACTTGTCCTTATTTCTCAGACTAAAAGCTGTCTGGTGCTTATTAATTGGAGATTTAAGCCTCTGGTTAATCCATGGTGGTTCGGTGACATGAATAGTTTTTGTCCTTATAGGCGCTACGAAGTCAAGACCAGTTTGAACAATGGACTGTGTTATATCTGGGTATCCATAGATATTGCAGGCTTGGCTGCTAAACCTAAGGATGTTTTAGATACGTTGGATCTGTCTACTTTCGGTGTAAACTCTTCTTGTATATTTGAGTCTGTTCCGTTACAGGTAAAGACTTTGTGACACTACAGACTGCAATAAGGAAGGTTTATCTTCACATGAATCGACTGCATTGACAAGTGATGTGATATCAACTTGTTCAAGATAGGAACAGATAGCCTGGCGATTACTTGTGCGTAAATCTCTTGATTTGATAATGATCTCGTTTTCAGATGGTGCTGGATGGTCTTTGGGTTGTGCTTCAGATGAGCAGTGGTCTGAGAGACCAAAGGCCAGTCACTCAATCGGTGGGGTGTAGCGATCCTTAAGGTTTGTTAGAATCCGGTCAAGTGTATTCCATCCTCAAGTAGGGAAGTAAACTATTTGCTTGAGATCAAAGTTTGATTTTAACTTCACTGTATCCAGCTTGTTGATGTTGCCAAGTAGAATAATCCCACAGTTGGAATGGCACGATTCAATAAAGGACAAGCATTCCATCAGATAATCCAGCATTTTCGAATTCGAAGCTAACGGTGGATGATTTGATAATGATCTCGTTTTCAGATGGTGCTGGATGGTCTTTGGGTTGTACTTCAGATGAGCAGTGGTCTGAGAGACCAAAGGCCGGTCACTCAATCGGTGGGGTGTAGCGATCCTTAAGGTTTGTTAGAATGCGGTCAAGTGTATTCCATCCTCAAGTAGGGAAGTTAACTATTTGCTTGAGATCAAAGTTTGATTTTAACTTCACTGTATCCAGCTTGTTGATGTTGCCAAGTAGAATAATCCCACAGTTGGAATGGCGCGATTCAATAAAGGACAAGCATTCCATCAGATAATCCAGCATTTTCGAATTCGAAGCTAACGGTGGATGATAAATAACATCGACAATAACGTTATTCACGCCTCTTGGGAGTCGATGAGGTCGGACATCCAGCCAGAAAACTTTGAGAGATTCATCTGCTAGATCTACAACAATCGAGAAGGGAATCAGTATCTCTGATGTACATGCAAACTCCGCCATGGATTATTTCCTTCCAGTCATGATGAACGAGATGGTATCCGTCTATTTCCACAACAGAATCTTGTATGTGTGATTTTAGCCATGACTCAGTTATGCAAATAAGATTGAAATTTGCATGTTGAACCACATGGCAAATCTCGTCAATTTTTGGAGCCAGAGACATAACATTTGAGAGGAAGAAGGCTGGTACAAAAGTTTGTTTTTATTTTTGTTTTTAACGACTTTACCTGGTGTGACTAGACCTGGAAGGGTTAGTGCGAACGGAATACAAGGTCCGTGCGAGGCACCACCCCTCCCCCCAATTCACCCTGGATAGACACTGCACAAAGATAGACCACAACACTGGGCACTACGTGCCCTACTCTTTTCAAGGTGTGTGTGGGTTCTTTAACGTCCCACAAGTTTAAATCACATATAAGGGCTTGTGAGACGGAAAGTGGTCGCTGTGACCGCTTTCCATAAAGTAAATTTATCTCAACAATCTGTATTAGTTATTATTATTATTATTATTATTATTATGCGTAATAATAGTTTTCACATTTTTAGTCTTTATTGTATTGAACTTTTAATCTTTTTATCCTGTAACATTAGACATGTATTTTTATCTGATGAGCAATGAAGACATTTTATTTATTTATTTAGTTAGTTAGGCATGACAACAGTGCATGCGCATGTCCACTTACACAGGCACAACATGTTAATTGTCCCTTAAACTGTCCTATTAAACTGTCCAATTACAAGCATGATGCATACACTGGCCTATTGGTGCTCAAACTGGGGTGCTGATGACCAATCAAGCAATAGTTTTGATTAGTTGGTTAATAGTTGCACGGCAGTCAGCTTATTGTTGACTGTCTCTTCATAGATTGGGGGCTGATTGACTTTTCAGTAAAGATTTTGGTTTACTTTTGAGACAGTAAGACATCCATCCTCTATCAGAAGAGGATTGTCTGACTACTGGCTGAGTATTGGCAACCATTGTCCAACTCTGTGCTGACTAGCAACCAACTATCAACTCTTGCAACTAAAGGGTATAACTACACACATGATCTGGGTAGTCAAAAATTATACATAAAGGTGCATACCTCTGAAAAATTAGTGATGCAGAAGTCAGTGAAAAAAATGCTGATATTGCTTTCATTACGGATTGTTGAGAGAAATTTCAAATTTACCCTCTATTTACAGGGCATAGAGTAGAGCTTCTGAGAAAATAATTATGTGCAATGATTTAAAATTTACAAGAATTGCTTAATGTACTGAATTCTACCCTATATGAGAGGGGAGTTTGAGTTTTTATTTCTCTAAGTAGTTTATTTCCACTGTTCTTTACACCTCCCCTCAAACTCCCCCCGCATATTAAGTAGAATTCAAGACATTAAGTAATCCTAGTAAATTTTGAAACATTGCATATATTTTCTCAGCTCTACTCTATTCCCTTTAATAATAATCATAGCATATATGGGAGAAATTTCAAATTAACCCTCAGATCCTCTGAGCTAGGTTGTTGTTGTTGTGTTTCTTTTTTTTGTATCAAAGGATGAATTTCTGGATTTGAAGTTTCATTTCCTTCTTATTCTTCTATAGTCTTAGCTTTGTCCCTCTTTTGTATGTAGGTGCCTTTCGTGTTGAACTGTGCTCCAATCTGATGGAAGGTGGAACCACACCATCTCTAGGTAGGTGAATTTTACTGTGTACAATAGTATTTGTAAATATTTTTACTTTTAACACTTGATATCCACTTTTGATCCATTTTATAATCAAGTTGTCTTGTTAGGATCTAGATCCATTTACCCTTTCACTCTCGGATTCCAATTATTATTATTATAATAGTAATTAACTTTACTGACTGTCATAGAATTCCTATGTTATTGGTTCAGAGTCTGGTATTAACTAATGATCCTCCAAATTGACATTTTTCATTCATATTACTTGTCTGCTTGATACTGCATTGATTTTCTTTGAAGGTAGTTTGACTAATAAAAACTCTTTTTCACTTTGTAGTTCACTATTTAGTGCTAATTTTCCAGGGGTTTCATTAAGGGCCGGGTACCGGGCAAATTGCCCGGCTGCTTGTAACATCTCAACCATAAGAAAAATATAAAAGTTACTTTCCTATGTTTTCCTATACTGTCTTCTAAAAAAATATATTTAAACTTATATAACATTAAGTGACTAGAAAGAAACACACATGGTTCGCTGCAACTCTGAGTTTCGTGCGTTAAGCACTCATCAGGCAGATTTAAATCTGCCTGATGAGTGGGGAGGAGCGTTGCGTGACGAGACTAAAAACAACTGCAAGGGAGACTAGGCATATCTTTGCCCTTCACAAATGAGATATTAATATTGAGGTCTTCAATGCTGTAAATGAAAATAAATTAGCACATTGGATTCAGAAATCTCCGGTTCACGGTTTGTCGTGGTAAATGCCTTCAGTAAAGCCAAAACATAAAAAAATAGCAGTACTTGGAATAAATTAGTTCTTCCCTTTTTTATCAAGTACACGAAGTTTATTTTCTCTAAGATTGTTATCTTAGTTGGCTAGCTCTTTCAAGTGGTTGCCTAGCACGTGACCAATTTCTTCCCCGCCGGCTCGAGTTTCAAGACGTACCATTATGCAAATGGTACAACGGGTTCGCACTAAATTAAAGTTTGAGTTATATTCAGAAAGACATGCTGCTCCTATAGTGATTGAAAATTGTCCCGAAAGCTCCATTCTTTTCTGATTTACTTTTGAAATTTGAACCTTCTATGAGCGACGGGAACTGAAAGTCAATTTGTTGTAGAAGCTGCCAACTTTCCTTCGTCTGTGTCTGTGGTGGAATGCAAAAACTCTACTCGTGTGGTAACAGAAATCTTTCGTTCATGGCAACTGTAAAGAAAAGAACTTTTTAACCCAGTGTGTTTGTTAGCAGATCCATCTTAGTAAGATTAGAAAATAGAAGAAATCTAACACCAACACCTTTTCCTTTTTTATACTTTTATTGAAATCATATACCCTCTGAAACGAACAACTTAACAATTCTTTACACTTATATTCCACTCTATATTTGCACAGAAACTGTGTCATCTGAGATCCCAGCAAATGATAGCTGCACAGAAACAACGCCTTCCGAGAACTTGGCAAATAATGAAATACATGACATTACTAAAACAGCTTCTAGTGACCTTACCATGCAACTAAATGTTGCAAAAGCAAATCTACTAATTTGTCTGTTGACTGATGCATCAAATCATAATTTAAAAAGAGCTGGTAACTTTGGGATGTTAGTTTGTGCTTCAAAATGGTGGAAAATGCATCTCTGCAACTGTAGAATTTCAAAAATTTCAGGGGGAGCATGCCCCCCCGACCCCCCAAGAAGGCAAGGCCCTTTGGGCCTTGCAGACAGATGCACCCACCTGTGAAATCCAGATGCCCTCCTGCTCCAAATTTTAATGAAACCCCTGATTTTCGATGTCTGAGGGGTTATGATATTTGAAAATGATTATGTAAATGGTAACAGCAAATAGCAAAAATGGTCTTTGATCTCACCATCTTTTCCTCTTATCACTTTGATCAACACTTTTCCAAAAATAGCAGAAAATCACCTCTTCTTAGTAAACGCAAAATGTGTTACCTTTAGTTTTAAAAATTACTTGTGTTTCAAGTTTTTCTGTAAATGCTGTGCTGAATGTCTCCAGTGTGTCAAGGTCCAACTGCTTGTAAAAACTAAATTTTTTTTGTTTTTTTTTTGTTGCAGGAATGTTTAGAATTATCAAGCAAAGATCACCAATTCCAGTGTTTGTAATGATAAGACCAAGAGGAGGTGACTTTCTTTACACTGAAGATGAGTTTGAAGTTATGAAGGAAGACGTCAAGGTATTCAAGGAAGCTGGGGCAGATGGAGTCGTGTTTGGCATCCTTACAAGGTGTGTAAGTGTTAGAAATTTTTTTAAACCACAGTAGTGCTGTATGCTGCGAGGGAAAAAATATTATTTGTGCTATACATAGTCACCCCAAGGTATTACTTCAGTGCTTATATATATTTTTTTTTTTTTTGCATTTCTTAATGCACATTAACCCTTGATACCCTCACATTACAGCAGGAGGTGGCGTGGTGGAGTAGTTAGGGTGCTGTACTTGTCATCCGGTGTCACTGGTTCAATTCCTCCACCCTGTGACTCTCTGGATTTGTTCTCGGTTGCCCCTGGTTCAATTCCTCAGCTGTGCTCTATAAATAGCCCACTGCCAGTGGAGATTTTCAAACACTTAGTTAGTCTACCTTGTGGCTGAAAAGCCCCTATGGGGGAGCTTCAATAAACATATTTTTTTGTTTATTTATTTACTTCAGTATTGATATTCTCCACACTGTTTTCTTTACATTTCCTATGGTACTGACAACTTAGTGACAAAGAAAATTTGATCAACAATCAGGAGCTTCTGAAATTGATGATCATTTCCTTTGTACCCCTCACTTTTATATTTGATTCAAGAGTGATATTTTAGGGAGAAATTTAGAAACCAATCTTAAGGGTTGAAGGTTTATGTTGGGGCTTCACAACTAGTTGTACTACTCACAAAAGGAACTTTTATAGACTCTCTATCTAAATTGTATATAAATGAGCGTCTTTAACCAATAAGGTCATGTGCTGACTTTTGCTCTATAACATTATTGGTTAAGATATTCAGAGACCAAAGCTAATACACAGTGCTGCTAGGATTCAGTGATAGCGCATGAAATTACAGTTCTCCCAAGATTGTAAATTTCGTTCGCTTCTAATCATTGTTTTACAGATTTTTACCATGATTTACAAAAAGTCAAGATGTTCATTAGTACTTAGCTCTTGATTTAGGTACTTTGTTTTTTTTTGTAGTAAGTTTTCTAATGCAGGGCCACCATGCAGATATTCTGGTATTAAACTAATTATTTTTTTTACTGGTATTATTATTGTCATTGTCATCATTATTATTTTAATTAGTGCTGTTGTTGTCCTTTAGCGAAGGTGCAGTGGACACTGTGAGATGTGAAGAACTTAGAGGTTAGACCAATTTTTTTAATTAATAATTATATATTTCTTCAATACAATGTGGCAACATGTTAGTTCAAGTGGCCTTGTCCCTTACATTTTGTTGTAAACATAATTCAGAGAACCCTTTCATCAATCAGTGTTTTTGATGGCATATCTTAAGTGAAAGTAGGGAGAATTAAAAGTTTGCACAATTGAACTTTTCCCTAGGTAAAGGTGACTGATCATTTTAGAAAGGAAGCTGTTGAAACAGGGGAGTGGTGATTTAGATTAGTGAAAATGAAAATTATGGAGTATGTAACTTTAGCTACCATGCATAAAGAGCTAGCATCCACTGAGAAATGGCCATTTCTGGAGGTTTCACTGCAGATATAAATTAAAACCTCTTCTCTTGATTAAGCATTGAAATTCCCTCACGTTCTTACTCTTAAGGTATGAACATTATTTTATGTTTTGTCCATCTGATTTTTTTTTGGTAATTTTTTTTTCTCTCTTCTTTGATTTAGATTTAGCAAGTCCACTTCCAGCTACTTTCCATAGAGGTAGTTCTCTCTTATTTTTTATTTTTATACTTACTGTTGAACATTCCAGAATTCTGTCTTGGTTAAGTATCAAATTTTTCATTACATGTAGACAAGTTCCACACAGTTGACTGGGTGCAAAAGTTTACAAACCCAGCTTAAAAACTTCAATTTTATTTAGCAATAGTCAGTGTCAGTGTAAGAAAAAAGTAAAGTAAACATGATTAACACCAGCGTTGTTTTAAGCTTTCCAATATACATTTTAGAAGTATAATTATTTGATAAATGTTACTTTGTTATTGAACCATTCTGGTGGCTCCAGTTGACTGAAGTTATAATTTTTTGCTTTTTTCAGCTTTTGACATGCTCAAAGATCCTTACACTTCTTTAGAGGTTATTATTAAGTTAGGCTTTGAGCGTATTTTAACCAGTGGACAAGATTCTTCAGCACTGGAAGGATTACCAACAATAACACATCTAATTGAAAAGGTATTTAGTATTCTTCGAAAATTCAGTCAAGATTGCTAGTAGATAAATTCAAAGGGAAGAAAATTAAACTTCAAAGATGTAGCATCAGGTGAGATTGTCATTTATTCAAAGGCTTTTCTTTGTGTGAGTAGGCATCAAATGAGAATTCATGTTCCAGATAACATGAATAATTTGAGTCTTTGTCTTTTTTAGGCAAAAGACAGAATCACTATTGTTCCAGGTAGGTTTTTCTATTCACAATGAGTCAGTCTCCTCTATTAGTTTTTTGTGATTGAATTTTGAGGCACATGTTTTCACAAGTACTTCTCTTGGATTGATTATTATGATGACACATGGTCCATGAGTTTGGCAGGTTGACCTAATAAAACTTTAGCTTCTTTATTCATTCTATTCCATTTTAATTTATTTTGTGTGTAATACCTGAAAACCAGCTTGTGAGTGTTTCTCACTAATAGCTAAGTGTATTTATAATAATTGAACTGAGTGGAGTGCAATTTGGGCTGAAATCATAGGCGTGATTTCAAAATAGAACGAGCACACATTGCGAGTTCGATTTGAAATCCCAATTATGATTTCAGACCAAAATTGCACAACACGAGGTTCAATTACCACTTTATTACATCTATTTTGAAATCACCCAAGTACAGGACTTGGTCAATTCAAGTATTTTATTTATGCAGTACTGAGCCAGTTTTTAAATAAAAAGCGGAACCAGAAATGCTTTTACATCTTATTTTGTATGCAAAACAGAAAGACTTTGACGTCATGTGTCAAAAACTCAGTCAAGTGTAAAATGATGCGATTTAGAGCAAAAAATGGTGTGATTCATGAATAAATCTCACCAATTAGAGCCAATCAGATTACAGGGACCACCAGTGATTTCAAAATGGATGTAATAAACACAGTAAACCAATATGACTGTGTTTGTATATGGATAAAATTTATTTGTAAATGAATTATGACTTAGTCATTATCATCATGATTACTATGATTATTATTATAATAATAATTATTATTGTAACTGTTATTACTATCACTACATTCTTGATGATTTTGCTTAAGAACCTAACATACATTGATTTCTGACAAAATGGGGTGCAATGTAGTCAGTTCCTTGAGAGGTTTCCCCCCTAGCATAGTGATAAATATATACAGTTAACTAAGAGTTTCTTCAAACTTTTTCGAGAGCATTTGAAGGATCACATGTTATTTTTGTAGGTGGTGGAATAACTGAACGTAATTTGGAACGTATACTACAGGAATCTGGTGCTAGGGAATTTCATTGTTCAGCTCGCCAATCTATATCATCTTTTATGGATTATAGGAACACTAATTGTCCTATGGGTGGGGCCCTGAATCCGCCTGAATTTATTACAAAGGTGGCCAGCTATGAGAAAGTTAAAAATCTTGTTTTTGTAGCAAGATCAGTCATTTCTTGATTTATAGTAGTTCACACTCTGGTGAGAAAATTGTAAATTATTGAGATATGATAGACAGATAGATAGTTTATTTTTAGAATTATATCAAAACTATTGTACTAAAATTTACGCATACATCATCATTATACACACCTTCAAGAAATGTGAATAATAGCTTTGGATGAACCTTCTTGTCCCATCATGATTGTGTTAGTTCCTTTGTGTGGTGGCTTAACTGTTTCATTGTTAAAATTATATCTATAAACTGTATGCACAAACTCTTGCAAACTCCTCTCATAAATAAGATTCAGACCTTTTCATACTTGTAAAAAAATTTCACACTGTGCCATCTAACAAACTTTGTATTTTATAAAAACAATTCTGTTTGGGTGAGACAGTGGAAACTATGCTGTTTTAGTTTGTAAATTCCTTTCTAATTTATTTATTGAAAAACTACTGTTTCTTTGTACCCTGTTCTAAAGTTACAATAATTATTTATACAATATAGTTTAAAACTTAGGAATGTGAAATGTGACACAACAAAATATTACATAGCCTAAAGTTAATTTTATATATCGCTGCCAAGAAACACTATTTAGCTGCTATGCTCTGATTAATGACACTCTCTCTTATGTACAAGCCTTACATTTGAATATGAATTGGTCTTATATCAAAGTAACACCTCTTCGAAGATAAGTTTGTCTTCTTGTCACTTGTTTAATGGATAATATATTGATTTCAGGAGACATGTGATTCTCCTCTGGGAAGTAAAGGGTTCAAGAGTTCTATCCAAAATTTCTGTGCCAAATATCAAATATCAAACTTTTGCCTTTTAATGCTCCTTCAGACATTACAATGTATCATATGATCAAATATCACATGCTACACACGTAACAACACACGCATTGAAACAAGTTTTTGATCCCATAATGTACAAATTATTCAATACGAGTCAGAGGTATTGTTACAATAGCATGCCTTTGATTGTGGACTATGCGATTAAATGGAACATAGTTCAAATTATGGACTGTGAAGTCGTGATACGAACACTGTCCACGCAAAAGCATCGATGATATTTTTTATAAACGTCAAAGGAAGACATTTTGAGGAGCCTTCAGTGAAGGGCTTTCATGGTAATTATCATTAATCAGTTCACATGTGGGGTCTTCCCACCCTGTTGAAATTAATTTTAAGTGTATTGTCATTTACCTTTGCCCTTATTTATTGCGATCCAAGCGGTGTTTCACTGGGGAGATAAGAAATGTTGTTCCAATACTCGAGTACTATTACCTTGTTAGGGGATGAATTGAAGCTTTATTCAACGCGTTTTACAAGAACAAGCGTCAAACCTGTCTCAGAGAAGTTTTCCTATAAATTATGGGGGCAGTTGTTTGTTCATGTTTTTATAGTCACAGTACCTGTCTCCATTACATTCTGCATGAGCCATATAAACAGTGCAGCTCGAAAATAAGGGGACCAAAATATGTGCTTAAAACGCGCCTAGTACGTTTATAAGACCATTTCATAGGTCTTGGTCTCACGATACTTAATATTGTTTTTTATACTTAGCATTTTGTTTTCAATGCGGGTCGAGGGGAAGGGGGGCGAAATGGGCGTTGCCATTTACTTACTTTGTTACTTGAAATTATTGTATTTGATAACCCTTATAAAGTAAGAACACCGCATACACATTCTAACTATTCTCCACTCGTCAAACTATTGTCGTCGTAGGTATATTCAGTTGTTGTAGTAGAGTAAGAATAAGATGTACCTAGGCAGTGAGAATGAGGTCAAACATAAGATGGAATGAATTAACCAAGACTCGTTCTTATTAATGAAGGTCTTAGTCTTTTTTTTCTTTTTCTCTTTTTTTTTTCTTTTCTTTTTACGGTGGAGGTGTGTGCTGTGAAGCGCTTACTGGACATGCAATGCGAAAAAACTTGAGTTACAAACTGATCTTTAAGAAGTGCCACTAAGATATTTTTCTTGGATTTCTCTTATGATTTCTGTTTCGTAAAGAACTGCAACACTATCGTATACCCAAACCTTGAGTAATTCAAATAATTAATGTTTGATTCTAATTACTTCCAAATATGAGAGAGCTGAACAGACTCCGCAAATAAAATAATTTTGAAAAACTTTTTTTGAAACACGTAGTAACGGAGCGCAAATGATAGGGAGCTTCCAAAAGTCGGTTAACTCTTAAGATCTCATTAGCAACTCTCCTTACTGCTTGCCATACAATTGTTATGATGTTAGTTGGGAGAATTTGGTATCGAATCAACTAATAACGTGTTTAGTTAGTTAGTTAAGCCCCTGGCTCCAGGTTGGAGCATGGGCCATCGACAAACTGCCGCCACTGACGCCTCTTTTCTGCCAGCTGTTGCAGCTCCTTCCAGCTCTTCCCGAGGACCTTCATCTCTTTTTCCGTATTCCTCCTCCAGGTATTCTTGGGGCGTCCCCTCTTTCGTTTTCCCTGTGGATTCCAACGCAGGGCTTGCCTCGCAATGCTGTTTGAAGGTCTTCTCAGCGTTTGGCCTACCCACATCCATTTTCTCCTCCTCACTTGCTTGACCATCGGTATTTGACCTGTCCACTCCCAGAGCTCCTCGTTTGTGATCTTGTCTGTCCAATGTATCTTCAGGATTCGACGCAAACAATGATTGACATATTGTAACTTTCTTGCCGTTTTGACTGTCATCCTCCATGTCTCTGCCCCGTATAAAAGCGCAGCTTTTACATTAGAGTTGAAGATTTTCAGCTTAGTTGATGTAGATATGCTTCCAGAGCTCCACATCTTCTTAAGGGAGTGGAAGGCTCCTCTTGCTTTATTAATCCTGTTTGCAAAGTCTGCGTCAGTTCCCCCACATATGTCTATTATGCTCCCAAGGTATGTAAACGATTCCACCTCTTCGATATCGGCGTCATTTACTCTGATCTTCCTCCTTGAACCTGAGTTAATCTTCATGACTTTGGTCTTTGCGGTGTTGATAACAAGGCCAGTTTTTCTTGACCTTTCTTCCAGAACGCTGGTTTTGTTCTGCATTTGGGCTCCTGAGTGAGATAGTAAAGCAATGTCGTCGGCATAATCCAGGTCATCAAGCTGCTGGGTGAGCGTCCATTGTATTCCGTTCCTGTGGCCCGCTGTCGATGACTTCATTATCCAATCAATTGCCAGGAGGAATAAGAACGGTGAAAGAAGGCAGCCCTGCCTTACTCCGGTTTTAACTTCGAAGCTCTCCGACAGCTGGCCTTCATGAATGACTTTACAGGTGGTACCTTCGTAAGAGTTTCTTATGGTGTGTTATCT